AAAATGCTGTGAACTATGACAGAAGTCATTTGCCTGAGGTATCGTGTTGGATAATTGTCTAGCATGAGCGTTTAGCACTTCTCTGGCATCTTGGCGCTCGCTAGGGACAAAACACTGAATTTTGTGGGCCACAGATATGATCTATATAACTGTTTCTCTCCTTTGGAAACCCAAAGAAGGCGGTAGCATTCCTCTGGCTCGGTCTGCAAACGCTGCCTGTTGCCGCACAGGGTTATTGTGCTATAGCCTCGCCAAGCCTGTAACATGTCGTTCTGGGCTTCATGCGCTCCTGTTATGACTTTTGCCTAGATGCAAGGGAGTAAAAGTATAACAGATAAGCTTTACAAGCATTTGAGCAGCTTTTAACAAGTTTTTGCTTACAGATTTGTTTTCAGAATATGTGACTTGCCTGTTTTGTTGAAATATTAACTACCACTTTATAGGTTGTGTCATTGTTGCTATGTGGCCAAAGGGTGAAGAGAAACATCTGCAATTAGGTTGAAGAAGAGCTAGTGTAATCCTTCCGCACCTCCCCATACACACTTTACAAGATCAGGAATGTATCTAAAGTTTTCTTCATGCTCAACCTCTGTACAGTGTCTGAAAGTAAAGCTGTAAACCCCTTTCTGTGGATGAAATTCTACTTTCTTAATTTTGTTAGTTAAAGCCTTGTGGAAAGTAATAGTGAGAGCGGATGGCAGAATGTGCGACATGGTCGTCTTGAGACAAATACTGTCTTATTTGCCAATGTACATTTTTAAGCTATTGTTATTTCACTACTGCATGTCTTGATGGTCCCAAAGGTACAGATGAAAGGGAAGTTGTCTTTCTAAAGCGTATTGCTGCTGTGCTTCTCCACTCCTGCTTGGGGAAGGGTTACCAGCTCTTTTAATACCTACACTATATCTGAATGGTAGGTAAAAATCTAAGCCCAATTTATCCCTTTTCAAAAGAAAAGAAAATAATACTGGCCTGTGTCTTAGTTGTGATTTTCAGTGAAATGAAGCCTTTGAACCTCATGAGTAAAGTGATTTATTTTACTGTATTAGAAAAATCTTATCAAGTAAAACTTGGTTTTCCTAGCTGACAAAGGTGAAGAAAGAACTATTTGTGCTAGACCCAGAGATGGAAGCGTGCTTTCCTCGGTATTTTAATCCAACTCTTCTTCACATGCCATTCACTCTGGAGTTCCTCAGTACGTGTAAACGTCTGTAATACCTGCTTCCAGCAGGTAAATAAAGTTACCTCCCGTTTCGATAAGGCAGAATGCCACTATTCAAACTTGCCAAATTCAAAATGAACTTGGAAGAGAAGCAACAGAATCTGGATCAACCTAAAATGAGTATGAACACAACGGGACTCATAAAAGAAACCTTTCTGAGAGGCTGTCATTCTCAGACTCTTATGTTAGGCACGCATTTGGAGCCAGATGAATGTGCTGAAGGAAGACTAGTATTATGCTTACCACAAAATTGGCATAATGGAACAGTAATTCTCTGTTCCATTAGATAAAACCTGTCCATTCTGCTTCTTGCTATTGCACTTGAATACTGTAACTGCTTTTTTTGGCATGCTTAAAAGATATTGTTCTTATCTGTATCAATTACAACTTAAAGTCTACCTCTGTCTATCATACCTTATTCCTGTCTCCTAAGTTATCTGGTCCCTCATCTTCCACTTCAAGCACAACTTTTTCAGGCATACCTTAAGAGTCTTGCTGAAATGGCCCAAATCTCAGATAGCCTCTTTTGTCCTGCCTCTTTATCCCTTGCCAGTGATAAATGCTCCCAGGCTGGTTCATCCTGTTTGCGTGTTCAGGCTGCCCCAGGGCATCATAAAATACTCTGGTACGATGAGCTCTGGGCCTGTCCGTCCCTCGTTCTGCTACCCTGTAAATGAGGTATTTAGGGAAACTGAATCAAATGCCTCCTAGGCAGGGAAATGAGGGGAAGTTAAGCATGAGGGGGAAAAAAGCCTATCATATCTGTAGCCATCTAATACAGCATGCTATCTGTGGCCCTTAGTCTGTGACTGGTCTGAGGAAGAGAATGCCTTCTACATGTTTGGAGTGATTTCTGAGTAATAAGAGCTGATATGTAAACTTGTTAAATTCTAATGAATGGAATTTTGTATAATGAGTCTGCCAGTTATTAGATGTTTTATTAGTCTGTGATTAAAATAATGCCCCAGGTCTGGAACCTGTACTTTGTAGGCTTTACTCAGCCAGAACTTCTGGGGGGGGCGTTTTGTTTTTTGTTTTTTTTAAATACACACAGTACTTAACTTCATATTTATGATAAACTATTAGCCATTCAAGGAGTCAGCTGAAACCTCAGACACTAAAGTAAGGTAAGAGAATCACATATGTTCCCCTCCTGGTGTAAGTTCAGCACTGTAATTACTACTGGAAGGAGACAAATGGGCTCTACCACATGCAGGAACATAACAAATCCAAACCCTGGCATATGGGAGGAAAATGCGTTACAAAGGCAAGGAGTTTAATTAAATGTATTTGTTCATGTTCTTCGTATTGTGCCATAGTTCAGTAACCCTAAGCAGGGCAGCTCAACTGCCCCTGCTGGTACTGAGTGGGTGGAGAAACAGTTTCTTGAGACCTTTTGTCCTGAGCTGTTTGTTGTTTATAGATTAATAAACTTGGAACTTAAACAAGATAAAGCACCTGCATTCAGGATAAGTAAGTTATTCTAACTTTTCTCACATGATGTAAAGGTTTGACTGACTAAAGCAAACTGTGGTATCAGTTTGTTATCAAGGTGATCAAATCTGAGTGCTCCAGTAATCTGGGGGAGCCTAGGAGAATAAAATGCCAGTGTTTTGAGTTGACCCCAGTATTAGGGTTACTGTTCTAGTCATTCTCCTCAAAATCTGAGTAAACTTGGTGACCTCCTTGCCACGCACAGGAGGCAGCGCCTGTTTGCTATATTCCGGCTGTGCATCGGATCGGGGAGGGGGGAGCTGTGAGGCAAGAAGGGGAAGCATCACCTCCTCCCTCCCAGCGGCAGAGCCTGCAGAGCGGGAGTCCATCTGGGAATGAGAGGAGACGGACAAAAAGAGAGCGTGAGATCCAGCAAGCAGAGAAACCGCAGGAAGAGCAGAGGTTGCAGGAGTTCAAAGCTGTGAACACTTTAGTCTGAGAGGTGGCAAGAAGAAACCTTTCCCAGGGATGCAGACAGTTTGTCTAAGGTTTAGTAAAACCTAGAAAGTCACTAAAAAGCTTCTGAACTGAAGGAACCTGGAAAACCTGATGGGAAGAACGTTTCCTACGAGATCACAGGGAGCAGCAAGTAAAGTTTCTTTGCAGAACCCTTTTTATTTCTGTTCCTTCTCACACTGTTTTCTAAAAAAAAAAAAAAAAAAAGCTCACTCCTTTAGATTCTGCTCATGAACTCTAGCTTTTGAGAGTTGTTGTATGATACTTATTTAATGAAAGGGTACAGGCAGCTTCATCTTATAGATCTGACCAATTTGAGGGTCTTGCCGCAACAAGACAAAGATGGTTTTTTTGTTGTTGTTTCTTTCCTTCTAAGGAATAACCTCATAAATGAGCAGAACAGATAATTCTCCAGGACACCTTGCCCTTATTTAAAGCAATCCTACAGTACATCAGAACAGTAGGACTGGAGCAATGCTAAAAGCAGAAAAGGTACTTTCAGCTGGAAGAAAAAACTATATGCGGGAAGCACCCTGGCAATCCAGCTCTGAGGCTGGTATCAGCAGTAAGGAGTGCTCGTGAAGATGCTCACGGGCTGCAGTTTGAGTAGAAGAGGGTGTAGAGTCACACTGAAATGGGGTTACAGATGTGATCTGAGTTAACCCCCCAAACTTGTCATCTTTTTCTTGAGGCTCCCTTTTAGGTTCATTGCTTACTGATCTGGTTTGTCCTGTAGCACACAGTTTCCATTGCCACAACTGAAGGAGTAGTGAACTGCAGCAGGGGAACTTCGTAAGCCAGCTTTGCTGCCAAAGCCAGCATCTCGTGCAACTATACACCGAGTGATTTCGTGCTGGGATACAAAACCAGTCACATGTAGTGAATATGGATTCTTCTGCTACAAATGTTATGTATTTTCTTATAAAATGCTTTTTTTCCCCTCTGTGTGCTCAAAAACATTCACATTTTCATTGAAATGGCATGATATGCATGTTTGCTGAGACTTTGTCTGTGGCACGGATGAGGGATATGCAGGAGAAGCTTGTGTTGCCTGGCTGGAATATAGATTAGAAGTAACGTACAGTGGAAGGTTTGCATCATTCTCCTATTACGGACTTCAGAGGCCTCGTAGGATGTAGTGACCAAGGTGTCCTGCTCTTGTATGCAGAGAAAAAGTCAAGGTGGATGCGTATGCCATATTTCTCTTCATTAAAAGTTTAAATATTGATCTTAATGTTATTCCTAATGGCTTGTTTCCACTGATGTTGGTTTGAGGAATATCTTCATTGTAAGATGGTCTCAGTTCCCACAGCGTGAACTTCTCTACCAGGTGGCATAATCGACTTTCTAGAATTGTGGAAGCTTGAGGGGGCCTTTGGGTGTTAGGTGCTACTGTAAAGTAATTAACTTCCGGAAGTATAAACTGGGATTTATACTAGTGGCTAGTGAGGAAATGGCAATCTCTGAATCATCCTCCTGGCACAGTACTAGAATATCCTAGCCGTTTCTGAAATGGGACTGGCATTAAATTTCTCAGAATTGTTAGTCTTATGCTAGATATTCTGAGAACCACAGGTGTGTGTGCGGTGTAGGACCACAAACTGGAGGAACTTATTTGAGTGCAGCTAAGCATCATTTAAACATCACAAACAACTGCATTTTAATGGGAAGTCCAAGGGTAGGAGGGAATGTGGAATAAAAGACCCTACACCAAGCAAGGACAATGGAAAACAGTAAGCAGGAAACAGGGTATATGGTTAAAAGGGGAGGGGGGTAATATCCTGAAAAATGCTATTGAAATTTTTTAAAAGGTTGTTTTTTGTTGCAGATTAATCAGCCACTCGATGGGGATTAACAGTGGAGCACCTCTTTGTGTCGCCTTTCCACCTCTCTGTAGCAAGAAAAACAACTTCAGCACTTCTTCAATAATAATTATGAAACTGGTATTAACTGAATGGCAATTATGGATTTTTAACTCTAACTCACAGTAAACCAGCAAGCCATATGTTGAAATTCCTACCAAATAGCTTTTCGTTCTTAATGTCTCATACTTATACAAGAAGCTGCAAGATACTTGTTTGTATACAAGGAATATAAGCATTACTTGCCTGGGGAACAGAAGCTGAAAGAGAAGACGCCCTGAGTTGTCCTTGGAGATATGGTAGTATTATTTATATAGATATAATAAATATATATATTTTTTATGGTGATGAAAATGGCTCCTCAGAACGCTGACTCGGAATCTATGCAAGTTCAAGACCTACCTGTGGCACAGCTTGAGAAACCAGAAAACAAGGAGAATGAAAGTAGAGAGGAGACCATTAGTGAAGGATCCATAGACCGGATACCGATACGCCTCTGGGTGATGCATGGTGCAGTAATGTTTGGCAGGGAATTTTGTTACGCCATGGAGACAGCTTTGGTAACACCCGTGTTGTTACAAATCGGTAAGTAATTCTCACTTCTTTTAAACCAAACCTTACTTTTCTTTTTTGCATTGGTTAAAATGCAAGAAGAAGGAAGTGGGGGCTGCAAACTAAAAATAGATTCTGGCAATAAGGAATTTTTTTGTTCTTGTCTGTGCCACAGATTGAATGGTATGACTATCTTTTTAAGTGGGGAGGAGTTGTGTATCTGCATTCTCTATTTAATATCACTTTCCTCTCTAAAAGCTTAAGCTGGATTAAGTTTTGAGTTTACAGGTAAAACGTGCAAGCTTAAAAGCGCCTAAAATTCTTTGTTAAAAGTAAATATTCTAGAAACCGGAAACAGCACCAGACTATAAAGGACTGCAATTAAACTGTTTCATTTATGGACAAATGCTTCAGGTTGTAGTATTTGTTGTATAATTTGCCTTTCCAGCTGTTAATGTAATGTTACCTGTATTTCAAGCCACTAGTGAATCTTGTTTTACATGGTTAAGCTGCCTAGTTTATCTTTAAACTTATAAATCCTTTATCGAGAAACTTGTTTGTATTATGCGATGTTCACTGGTAACCTGATGAAAGGAAATAAGTATTCAGAGTTTGTTCTTTTTCGAGTAGTATGTAGACTCCTTAAGGCCCAAATTGTTCAACTCGATTAGATGACTTAAAAATTCAGATGGATCTAGTGATCGGTGGAAGTTCTTGTCATTGAATTGTGTTAAAGCTTCTGCCCCAAACTGCTTGCAAGCCTCAAATTAGCAAGTAATTCGGTAACTTTGTATTTTAACTGAATCAGACATACTAGCAAAGAATGTTCCTAGGACTGTTGGTTGCACTGTAATGTAGCAAGTCATTAATACTTTTCCAGATCCTTACCGTGATACAAATAGTTTTTGGATAAAATGGAGGGAAAACGGGGATTACAGTCGGAAGTAGATGATGTTGCGTCTCAGGGAGAGTGCTATAATGAGGTTTCCAGATAAACTGCCAAACAGTATTAACGACTTCTGACGTTACCTTTATCCAATCCAGCAATCGTGTTCTTTCATGCCTTTATCCAATCCAGCAATCGTGTTCTGTCAGATATCAGAAAATACTGCATGAAGGTGAATGGAAGAACTAGACTGAGCATGCTTCCATGTGTGAATAAATTAATAATATGTTTGTACATAGTGTAAGTGTGTATACAACATATATACATTATATGTCTGCTTATGCTTTTTTTGGCTAATACACGCAGTTGTGCCTTAGAACATGCCCAGTTGCAGCCAAACAGAAGTAGAGGTACCCAAACAACTCTCTAAATGTTCATTGAATAATATTTACAGTGTTGTTTAAAAATTTAAAGGATGGCCTTCCAAATGAAACGTCTGTATTTTTGCATTAGATATGACAGCAGGGCGTAAAAGATGAAATGTAAGAACAGGCAATGTACAAATTCCTTTCTGCACTCTTCATACAGCTCAAAATGTGTTTTCATATGAAATGAATAGCTTATTTTAGACCAACAAGTGGGTCAGTAGTCAGTACCTCATTCTCATGAGAGATGCTCATGAGCTGTTCCTCCCAACTTCCCTGAAAACTTTCTTTTTCAGAGCTCGGGAGTTCTTTTGGGATCTGTTGGTAAGATAGATAGATCTATTGGTAAAATAGATTACAACTGTCCCCAAAACAGGCGCTTTCTGATCAACCCGACTTGTTGAATAAACCACATGCAACTTCATCTAGGAAAGTTTCTGATGTCCTTGACTTCTTCTGAGATTTTGTATCTTTCGGATAAGCCAAGCTTTAGAGGCCTGAGTCATTTGAATTGCACTAGCAGTTTTGGTTCAGTTGCTGTCTACCGTGAATACAAAATGCTTGCATCCTGCTTTTCCTGGAGGAGACCCCCAGTTTTGTAAGTGACCTATATAGTTTTTTGTTCACTTTCTTGTTTGTGCTGGCACTTGGGTTTTTAAAATGTATAGCTAGCTAAGCTGAATTTACCTTACCAAATGAGTAAGGTCAGACTGTATAAACAAAGCATCCCCTTAATTATGGACCACTCTACTAGTTTCCATTTCTTTTGTGAGCTCTTCTAGCAAATCTGTTTCCTCCAGATAATTGAAAAAAATCTCTTCCCTTCCTCCTCTAACACCAGTGATCCAAATAGCATTGAGATTTGGGGGAAGGGAAGAAAAGAGCTCCCTTTTTTTAGAAAAGCTGGCAAATAGACAAATGCAAAAGACTGTGGTGATGCAATGGTGATATTTTATGCTGTACAGATAAGGAAATGAAGTTACCTTCTTACAAATGTTAGCAGTTTGGAAACTTCTTGAAGTCTTTAGCTCTCCGCTCGTGCAAACAATGCTGGATTCACTTAAGGGTTAATTAATTCATGATTGACTTATCTAGTCTGTTTGGTAAGTACCTCTTACATGGTTCTGTTTAGTTTTCTCAGTCTCAACATCTGTCTGCCTCAACATGAGCTGTATCTGTTCCTCACCAAAGGGGTTGCATATCGCCATTAAACTGCCGTAATATTCCCTCTGCATCTTGTTTTGATAAAAGCAACATTCAGTTGTTTGCCCAGTCAGATTAATTTGGCTTGAGAAACTGTTTCTGAGAAGGACCTCCTGGAGAAATGTGGTAACACAACCAGCTGACTTGGCTCATACCGAAGCTAAAGAACCAGAAGCCTTGGTCCAAGGGTATGCAGATAAGGCTCGTCCTTACAGATGCACATTGAATCTTAAGAATTAAGCTTTCCTATACGTGCTTGCGTTCCTCATCTCAGAGTAACCTTTGGTCACTGAAACCTTCTGAAATTATTTGAGATGACTGAAATCCTAGGCCAGTCAGTATATTATACACTTTGTGCTTGCAAGTATTAGAGTAACTTTTCTCTCTATTCATGATTTGGCAGATCATTGACTTGTCCTACTTCTCTCATAAGCCCTGGGATGTTCAGCAGCTGAAGGAAAGAGTCTCTTGAAAAGTCTATTTCGAATTCAACAGTGGTTGAATGGTTGATGTGTTTACATTTTCCAGAAATCTCAGCAAAAAAACTAAAGCTGGCAATGAGAGCTCTTTGGATTGAAAGACACTGTGAATCAGAAAGATCTGGAAGTCACTGAATGCTGTACAACTACTGAAACAAATTCTAATTTATGACTTTAATCTATCCATTATTGCTATGCTTAAGTTGATGTTGCAGTGCCTTTTTAGAAATGCACCTACAAGTTAGTAACAATCTTGTAGTCATAACTTGGTCTTAGTAGCTTAGCAACAGGAACAAGCCAAACATATATTGCACATTTTTAATTCCAACTAGCTCTTTGATTTGTTAGCCACTATCTGCAGCTTAAGAATTCAAAATTAAGCAGTTAACATGTGTAGAATAATTCAGAGAATCCGAAAGTATTCCAGATATCCTGGGTCTTGGCAGGCTGACTCCAGCTGAGATGGTATTGCTTGGTACTTTCTAAAGTTTTGACCTCTATAAATCTTCATTAACCATTTTTTAGAGACCCATTCAGTCAACAGTTCCTCCCAGCCAGTGCTAAAACTTTACGGGAAAGTGAACTGTGAGCTCCTTTAGCATTCCAGGTTTGCTTGTTTATATCAGTCCAGGGCGCTTGAGAAAGCCAATGATTTCATATTGCTATTTTGGATATTCTGTACAGTTAACAAAGACTGACCCCAACCTCACAAATTGTAACTTTGGGCATTACAGAACCGTGTAATATGTAACTGTAGTATGCAATGGCTAAGGAGCTTTCATTTGTCAAAGGTAAAATGTCTCTTTAAAGGGTGAGCTTCCTTACTTTTTGTTTCCTCTGTCACATTTCAACCATATATTATAAGCTCCATGGAGCATGATGAGGCCTTTGCCTTCAGAAACGTGCAATACTTAATATTGCTTATCTGGGAGAGGGAATTAAAATGCCTGCTATTGTTTATAAACGACGGTGTATTTTCTTCCGTTATTGAGCTCGGCTTCTAAAGATTAAATCTCTCAATCTACTGCCAGTTCGTAAGGGTTCATGGAGAATTTGGCTACGTTTTGGAAAAGCTGCTGCAAAGTATTTTGAGTGAGTAAAGGTGGGGCAAAACTAATGGCTGGCCTGATGTAGACTTAGAGAGACTGCTAGCTTTTTAAAGTGACTTGGACAATAAAATGTATATGTGACCTCTGTTATCAACACTTAGTTGATAACTCCCTTCGGATGATTTGGGATGTAATTCAAGCACAGTTTGGGTTGTAATGCATCCAGTAAATCCGTTGGTTTCTCTAAAGGTGGGGTCCATGTGCCTGTTTAAGACTGCGAAAGAAAAAAGTCTGTACTCTGTAACGTGTCGTGGCTTTGAGTTTTAGCATGAAAACCTTGACATATGACAGTTGAGTAGTGGTGTGGTAGCTGTAAACATGGAAATTTCATGTTTTAAATTTCAGATGATAAAAGCTTTGCCAAGCCTTTACTATTGCTTCAAAGGCTTCTCCCAAAGCTATTGCGTGTTTATGAATAGTTAATAGGCACAGAAGTGGTTGTCAGCACCAGAACTCCTCCCCACTCACTCCCCTGCATAAATGATTAAATATATTACACTTGTGCTTTTGGAAAGAAACAATGTGCATTTACATGCGGAAAACACAGTTTACCTGTATGATGTGACTTAAACGTATGGACGTTCCTCTATAAAACAAATGTTTCATTTGCCTTCTTTAATCGAAGGAGTGCATCAGATCAGTGACTAATTGATACAGTATCACTCACGTATCTCAAGTCTAATATAGCGTAAAATAGCTTTTACTTTTGTGTATTTCATATGTGGGTGCCTAGCTGATGGCATTACATTGTTATGCAATGAGAGTTCATGGGCTCTTGTTGTAAACATCAGCTAGTCTAGCATTAAATATTCAAGTTGGTGGTTTTAAGCTTAACCCTGAATGTAATGTTCCTTTTAGGCAATAACACTAAGCAGTAGCATTTCAGGAAACTGGATACTGCAGTGCTAATTAATAGGCTCTAATAAAGAGA